GGGCGGGTCGAGCCTCTCCTCCTCCGCGCCCTCGGGCCCAGGCCGGGCTGGCCGCCCTGCAGAGCGAGAGCTAGGTGTCTCCCTACACCTGGGGTCGCTTTGGGCCTCGCGCTAGGTATTTGTGCCAACACCCTTTTAAATTGCTGCTTTTCTCTGTATCTCCGCAGATTCTTCCGCATTTTAAAATCACTGGCATGGATTCTTTCCCTCTCCCCGATTATATAAACACTACACGCGCACGCGCGCGCACTCACACTCTCTCACACACACACACACACACACACGCACACGGGTCCCCAGGAACGCTCGCTGCGTTGACACCGCTTCCACTCTGTCTCCCCAGATGGGCGCTCTCGCGGACCCACGGCCCGAGGACTCGGCCCTCTCTTTTTCCAGCGAGGCTTTTGGACCTGTGGCAGGGCCAGTGCCGGGCGGGACTGCAGGGCGGCGAGACGGGCGGGGCGCGGGGCGCGCGCCCCGGGGCAGAGGCTCCCCGGATCCTAGGCATCCGAGCCCGCTGATAAAACATTTAGCTGAGACCTCGCAAACATCACTGCCGATACACTGAGACGCTTCAGCCCGACGGCTTAGGAGCCTTTCAAAACTTACAAAGATCATAGATTGTCAGTTTCTGTGCTCGCCCAAGAAACCCGACCCTTCCCGAGGTGGGTGGGTGGGGGAGTCACCGCCTCTCGCCCCCGCTTCCCCCTCTTCCCGCCCACTTTTCCTCGCTGCGGCTCGCGGCAGCCGTGATTTAATTTATTTGTGTGTTTAAAAGGTGCGTGTCGGGGTGCGGGTCGCTGAGGACACGCAGGACCCGCTCGGGAGCGATTGGCGCAGGTGTTGCGTGCTTGTGTATTAACTGGAAAAGACAGGCTCTGGAACTTTTACAGGGCGAGAAGAGGCCACCGGCTCGCGCTTTGTATACTTTGCACTTGAAATCGTTACATTCAACTGAATATTTGGCTCATTCAGATTCGGCATCTCCTCGCATCCTCGAGTTCCCTCCTCCGCCCCTCGGCTCCAAAGGAGGGAGGGGAGGGAGGAAAATGTTTAGTAAATTGCACATCTTTGAATCTTCCTAAAGCAGTGGTCACAAAGCTTAAAGGTGACACAACAGCGCTCACGTAAAAGCAACACACGTCCCCCACCCCCCACCCCCCAAGCCAACAATAAAATCATCCCCTTCAATTTGCCGTGATCGGCGGGACCAGGAGCCAGGTGATTATCCTAATTAATGTCTATCTAATTAAATTACTGTCAGCAGCTAACCAATGGCAGGAGCCGTTTCATCGGCTGCACAAGCAGCAAGATCAAAAGTGAGCGAGCCTTTTCTGATTGCTGCATAGTGTCAATTGGCCAATCTCTTCTCCCAGGGAAGGGGGAAAAAAAAAAAAAAAAAAAAAGTAAATCAAACCTTTGAGAAGCATTTGCTGGATGAAGTGCTTTCTGTCTAGTGAGGGGGTCTGTGGATTTCTAGTTTATGATAAATAGGACTTGAAAGACCGGGAGCAGGAGGGCGAGCGCGCAGGTTCTAGAGCGATGCAGCTGGAGCACTGCCTCTCTCCTTCTATCATGCTCTCCAAGAAATTTCTCAATGTGAGCAGCAGCTACCCGCATTCAGGCGGATCCGAGCTTGTCCTGCACGATCATCCCATTATCTCGACGACTGACAACCTGGAGAGAAGTTCACCTTTGAAAAAAATTACCAGGGGGATGACGAATCAGTCAGATACAGACAATTTTCCTGACTCCAAGGACTCACCAGGGGACGTCCAGAGAAGTAAACTCTCTCCTGTCTTGGAGGGGGTCTCTGAGCTTCGTCACAGTTTCGATGGCTCTGCTGCAGATCGCTACCTCCTCTCTCAGTCTAGCCAGCCACAGTCTGCGGCCGCTGCTCCCAGTGCCATGTTCCCGTACCCCGGCCAGCACGGACCCGCGCACCCCGCCTTCTCCATCGGCAGCCCCAGCCGCTACATGGCCCACCACCCGGTCATCACCAACGGAGCCTACAACAGCCTCCTGTCCAACTCCTCGCCGCAGGGCTACCCGGCGGCCGGCTACCCCTACCCCCAGCAGTACGGCCACTCCTACCAGGGAGCTCCGTTCTACCAGTTCTCGTCCACGCAGCCCGGGCTCGTGCCGGGCAAAGCGCAGGTGTACCTGTGCAACAGGCCCCTGTGGCTGAAATTTCACCGGCACCAAACGGAGATGATCATCACCAAACAGGGAAGGTAATGCTCCAATCCGGCCGCCGCCGCTCCGGGCGCCGCCCGGGGGCAGGGGACCGCCGCGGCCGGGAGGGTTTGGGGTCGGGAGCCGAGCGGAAGGCGCTCTGGTGCGCCCTAGAGCTTGGAAAGGGGGGGAAGGTAGGACCACTGCGGTGAGGTTGGGGGTGGGGGGATCCCTCTCTGGAAAGGTGGTAGGAGAAACAGGCAGTGGCCGGAGAAAGGCGAGAGGGAGAGGGAGAGGGAGAGACCCGGCCGGCGGCCGCGGGTGCGCAGGGACGCGCGGGTGCCCGGCAGGTGGAAACGCGGGGCGCCAGCCTTGCTCTCCACCTGGGCAGGGACACCTGCCGACTCCCCCGCTCCAGAACACAAACCGAACCCCCGGCTTCGGCCGCACCTCTCCCCCCCCACACACACCCCTCTTCTAACCCGGGAGACGTTCGCTCCCGACGCTCTGAGAACAAGTTTTGCTTTGCTATCTGGCGCCGTGCTTTCCTGCTTTTAATCCTTAACATTTATGTTTCCCCCTTGTTTTCTCCCTCCCCTCTTAATTTAAATAGGCGCATGTTTCCTTTTTTAAGTTTTAACATTTCTGGTCTCGATCCCACGGCTCATTACAATATTTTTGTGGATGTGATTTTGGCGGATCCCAATCACTGGAGGTTTCAAGGAGGCAAATGGGTTCCTTGCGGCAAAGCGGACACCAATGTGCAAGGCAAGTCCTTCCAATTAACACGTTTTCCTGACACTTATTTAGGTGAGAATGATTAATTAAAGCCTTTGTGGACTGGCTCGAGCGACTTTTAAAACGATCGGCCAGTGACTCCTAAAAGGGAACCAGGGAGATAGGAAGACAGACAGACTGGGCGGTGGGAAGGGCGAGGATTGTGCAAAAGCTACTTTAATCTTTCCCAGTTAATGGGAAGAAAGCGCGGCCTAAAAAGCCCCGGCTAATGGGCCTCACAGTGGAATAAGGTGTGTGTGCGTGTGTGTGTGTGTGTGTGTGTGTGTGTGCCCTACGCAGTGAGGAGTTGGGACTGGGCAGTGCCCGGGGCACGTGTAAACAGCATATTTCTTTCTCTAGGAAACCGGGTCTATATGCATCCGGATTCCCCCAACACGGGGGCTCACTGGATGCGCCAAGAAATCTCTTTTGGAAAATTAAAACTTACAAACAACAAAGGAGCTTCAAACAACAATGGGCAGGTCAGTGGCTCAAGCGTGCTCTCCCTCCCTCTCTCCCTTTCTCCCTCTCCCTCTCTCTCACACACACACACACACACACACACACACACACACACACACACTTGTCCGCCCCCCCCAAACATTCAGTTCATTAGTTTAAATCAGCATGAAAAACTGGATACATGTTTCTCTGCTTCATTAAAAAGCCTCTTAAAAATGTCCACCCTCCAACATTACATTAGATGCTGTGTAGAGCTGGTCGCCTCGCCCC